CGCCGATCCAGCGCGCCGCATGTTCGCGCGCAAAGACGTCGAACTCCCACACGCGCTCCTCGAGCTTTTCCCGCCCCGCACTCCACGCATACACCTCGACATCCTCCACCGCCTCACCCCGCGCTCGCACCTGCTCCATCCTTTCGCTCGTCAGGCTGGATAGCACGGCGTGGAGAGGTGCAGCGCCGGCGTTGGCGATGCGCGTCTCGTTGCACTCGACCCGTGCGGACGGGTCTGGGAGAACGCCGACGCGCATACGCACGTACTCGTCGCCCTCAAAGGCATCGAGGCACTGCACGTCGGCATCGGTCAGCCCCGTAACGAGCGTGCCCTTGACCATCCCCGTCGGCGTACGCACTAGGCCGGGGTACTCTTCGCCACGCACGTGGTAGAGCGTGGCACCGTCCAGCACCGCATTCTGCACGCGCACGTGCGCGCCCGCACTGCCGATCACGCGCGCCAAGATGCGCGGATGCACAAGCGTGCCGTAAAAGAACATGCTCCTCCCGCTCTTTCTCGTGCGCTGGGTGGACGCGCTTGAAGGCTTGGCCCGCCACAGTCGCCATCCGAGACGAAGCTGCTTGACGAGGCCATAGGCCGTGTCGATGTTGCTGCGATTCAGGTCGTGCAGCCACCACACGGCTGCGATGCCGACAAGCAGACCGGGAGGTGTCCAGCGCGTCCACTGCATCGTCTTGACCACCAGCGCAGCATACAGGGTCGAGGTGAATACAAAGCCAACGAGCGTCTTGACGCTCGACAGACTCTCCTCTTCGCGTCGAGCAAAGTGGTGCGCCACCGCCCGCGGGGCCAGGTACATCGGCACGAGCGTAGGTCCGAATACGGGTATGTACAGTGGCAGGCGCAACGCCATAGCCCGCACGGTGGACCACAGTCCGCTCCCCCAGCCGGCGGGAGAGCGTCGCAGGACGCGCGCGAGAGTGAGGTTGTCCACATCGCACAGATGCAGCATGCACGCATACACGAACAGCGCACGCCGCGCCGCCGTGCTCGCCTCGCCTTGCTGCGTGAGCAGCCCCATCAACTCGCGCGACACCTCGACATGCTCGTCCATCCCCGCGCGCAGTTCGGCGAGCGTATCCGGTTCGAGCTCGAACACCAGCTCGCGCGCGGCGCGCGTGGCCTGGAACGTCTCCCAGTCCGGCGCGTTGAACGTGAGTGCCTCGATGGCGCGCTGCAGATCGGCCGTCAGCCGTGCCACCGCGCGGTGCGCCGGGCTCGCATAGCTCTCCACGCTCGCCTGGCCCGTGCTGGTATTAGTCCGCGTCATGCTTTCCGGTGTTGCAGGTACGGTTCCGTCCTCCTTGACGCGCGGTGCGCTGCCCCTTGCAGGCTCGTCGGAAGGCGAAGGAGCCGAGAGGAACTCGTCGATGTACGCGTCGAGACGGATTGGCTTGCCAAAGCGCAGCAGCCCGCGCGAGCGGAACTTGCTCTTGTCGTCAAACACCACCGCCGTCGGCAGGATCTCCACCTGCGTCTTCTGCATCCCCCCACCCTCTGCGAGCTGCAAATACCGCGCGTACTCGAGCGCCGCCCATGCTGCACCCATCTTGAGGTCCGCCACGTAGGGAATCGTATAGCTGCCCCCCTCCGGAAACAAGGCGATGGCGCCTCCTGCCTTCATCGCGCGAAAGGTGCCCTGAAACAGAGCTTGGTTGTTCTTGTTGCGTCTGTCGACCTTGATGTTTCCGGAGGATGTGAGGATGGATCGGGTGATGGGGTTTTTGAAGAAGCCCGCTTTGGCCCAGAAGTGCAGCGGACGCCGGTGCGGGAAGTGCGATGCCAGCACGGCGACGTCGATGATCGTGTTGCTGTGGTTGGCGCATACGATGAGCGGCGTCGTGGGTGGCGGAACGAAAGACGCGTTCGAGACGTGGATCGACGAGAAGAAGACGGGAAGCGACATGTCGCCGATCGAACGCATGATGGTCCACCACGCGCCAAACCGCGGCACCGCATCCTGGCGACCCGACCCGGACGCAGAGGCTGTCGCAGATGCCCGTGCCGATTTTGGCGCGCCGGAAACGGAGGCGCCGGCCATACTTGATCTGCACCCCCGAGGATAGGCCGAACTCAAGAGATGGTGGAGGTTGAGTGGAAAGATGGCTGGTTATCATCGCCGGTCTTGCGGCTCGAAATCACCAATGCCGCCGGAAAATCAGCCCATCTTTCGACCCAGCTCAGTCGGCGAACCCTTGCCGATCCGATCTGCTGCCCATGCGCATCACACACCCAGCTCTGCACCACACCCGCATTGCACAGACGCACATTTCGCCTCCACATCCAGGCTCACGCACATCCACACGGCATCGGGCACAACTTAGAGCATCGTTATCCCGTGCTATCATACTTCAGACACAACCACTCGCCAACTAAGCCTTCTGGTCCTCCTGCACCTCCTCGAGCAGACTCTGCCTGAGCACATCGGCGGTCCTCCAGACGTCGGTGAACGTCGAAAACTGCGCGAGCGGCGCGAGCCTGAGCATATCGGGCGCACGGATGTCGGCAACGAGGCCGCGCTGCTTCTCGGCGCGCCGGTGCGCCCTGGCGATGAGCCGCTTGCCGTCGATGGGCGGCGGCACCTCCTTGCCGCTCGATTGAGCGCTCTGCGCCTGCTCGCGCTGCGCCTTCTCCTCCGCCTCGCGCTTGGCGACCGCGGCGGGCGGGTCGGGGATCTGGATGCACAGCTGCGAGCCGCGCTGCAGCGGGTCGCGCGGCGTCACCACGCGGATGTCGAATCCGTCCGGGAAGAAGCCCGGCTCGAGCAGCAGCGCCTCGAGGTACGCCGTGAGCCTCAGGCTCTTGCTGCGCAGGATGGGCATGACGGTGCCCCTGCCCACCTTGCCGTCGCCGGCGCCCTCGTCGCGTGGGTTGCGCTCGCCGTAGTCCGCCGCCTTGAGCAGCGTCTCGAGACTGCCCTTGAGCGCGGCCATGTCGAGCATGGACGGGTTCGACACCTGCCAGCCCTCGGCGCCGCGCGTCGGCACGAAGCGGTCCGGCATGGAGAAGCGCGTCTCCTTTTCGTGGCCCCACCAGCCCGCCTGGCGCGTGAGGTTGTGCTGGTGCCAGCGCTCGTGCACAAACAGACCCGCGATACCGCCGGGACCCGAGGAGCCGTACTTGTACGTGCACCAGCACGCAAAGTCGATGCCCCAGTCGTGCAGCGCCAGCGGCACATTGGCAAAGGCGTGGGCGAGGTCGACACCAAACAGGATGCCGTACTCGTGTGCCTTGGCCGCCAGCTTCTCGAGCTCAAACAGCTGGCCGGTAAAGTACTGGATGCCGCCGATGAGCACGATGGCCGTCTCGCCCTCCTTGCCGCACTTCTCGATGGTCGCCAGGATGTCGGCCGTGTCGAGCGTCTTGGTGCCGTGCTTGGGCACGAGCGGCACGAGCGACGTGGCAGGGTCGAAACCGTTGAGCTCGACGACGGAGGCGAGCGCATACTGGTCCGAGGGGAACGCCTTCTGCTCGAAGATGATCTTGTGCTTGGTCTTGCGGCCCTCGCTCTTTGCGGCGGCAACGTCGCCCTTGAAGTCGACGCCAAACGGCATGGTGGCCGGGCGATAGAAGGAGGCGAGCAGCGAATGGAGGTTGCCCGTGAGAGTGGCCATGACGACGACCTCCTGCTGTTTGGCACCGACGATGTTGGCGCAGAGCTCGCCGACGCGCTTCTCCATCTGGGTCCAGGGAGTGCCGTAGGGGTGCTCAAAGTGGCCGAGCACCGCCTTGCGGCCCCAAGCGTCGATCTCCTGCTCGAGGTAGCGCTTGGTGAGGCGCGAGAGCGGGCCGAGCGAGTTGCCGCACATGTAGAGCGACTCGGCATCGGGTGCGGTCTCGGCGGAAGTGGATGGGTAGTCTGGGCTGCAGACGTCCTTGAAGGTGGGGAGGATGTAGCCGTCGCGCATGGGGCGCAGCGGGTCGGCGCTATCGAGGTGCTCTGCGATGGCGCGATCGGTGATCTTTGCGCCCGAGCCGATCTTGGCGGCGATGGACTCGAGCTCCTGGACAAAGATTTGGGACTTGAACTCGTCGTTGGCCTGGCGGGTGGGCGTGTGCTGCAGAGTGGCCTTGCCAGCGGGACCGGATGCTGAGGGTGCGCGGATGACAATGTCGGAGCTGGCCTCGGAGAGAACCTTGGAGAGCTGGTTGAACTTGGCGGCAAAGACGTGTGCAAAGTCGCCGGTCTCGTCGGTGGCGCAGGCGAGGTGCACCTTGTCGACCAGCTCGTCGCGATCGGTGACGTAGGCGGAGAGCGAGACGATGGCCTGGATGTACTGCTCGAGGGTGCGCAGGATGGCCTTTTCAATGGCCTGCTCCTCGGTGAGGTCGGCATCGGCATCGTCGTTGGCGTTGCCGTTGGCGTTGGCGTTGCCGTGAGGATGGTCGTCGGCGTCGTGGTCGAACATCTGGGCCTCGAGGCCGGCATCGACCTCGCCGTAGAGGCAGGCGGCGACGAGCTCGTCCTGGGACTCTTCGAGCTGCTTTCCGATCTCCTCGACCTCGTCGAGGTCGATGGCGGCGGTGGCGACGGATTGAGCCTTGACGAGCTGCTTGAGGATGTTTTCGTGAGCGAGGTTGCCGATCTTGACGAGGTTGGAGATCTGACGGAGACGGTCCTTCTGCTGTGGGGAGAGCGGGGTGGCGGCGGGGAAGGAGAACTCGTCTGCGTCGTCTGCAGCCAGGTCGGCAGCGTGAGGGTCGTTTTCTGCGTCGATGCCCTGCTTGAGCTCGTCGAGGCCGTCGCGCATGAGTTCGATGCGGTTGTTCCAGGAGCGCTTGGAGGCCTCGAGGTTGGACTTGCTGAGGCCCTTTACGTGGACCTTTGTACGGGCGCCGCTGGGAGCGACCGAGGTGATGGTGCGCGGGGTGCCGTCTGGGTTCCTCTCGCCGATGTACTTTGCGCATGTCTCCCAGACGAGGTTGTTGGCAGCGAGCGTGCGCTTGCGAAGCTCTGCGGGGTCGCGCGAGCCGGAGGAGAGGGAGAGGTTGTCGAGCTTCTTGCCGACGCTGGCGAGGATGCCGTCGGCACGGTCGCGTGCGTTGGAGGCGTTTTCGAGCGCCTTGGAGGCGCGGTCGTCGAGAAGCGAGTGGAGAAGGTCTGCGATGGAGCCGAGAACGTCTTCGACGGCGGAGCGGATCTCGCGGGCGAACGAGTTGCCGAGCGAGTACTCGAGCTTCTTTTCGAGGTCGTTGCGCTCGGACGGCGGGATGCCGAGCTGGTCTGCAGACATGAGCTGGCCGCCCATGTCCTTTGCGAGCTGTTCGAGCTTGCGCCTCTCCTCGAGCTGCGCCGGGTCGTTTTTGAGGTGGTTGGGACGGTGCTGGAAGACCTCGCGATCCTTCCACGCCTTCTTTGCGAGGAAGACGATCTTTGGGAGGAGGTCGTTGCCGAGCGCTACGATCTGTGCCTGAGCAGCCTCGAGGGACTTTGCGTCGAGGCCAGAGACGGGAGAGATGGTGGCATCGGGTGCGGAGGGTGCGGGGGGTGCGGGGGGTGCGGTCTTGGCGCTAGGTTTGAGGGCAAGGGCGAGGTTGGTGGAGTGCTTCTGGACGAGGGTGAGGAGCTGGGAGAGATCCGAGACGATCTGTGCGGCGAGGATGTGTGCGGCGGGAGGCTTGGACGACGATGAGGAGGCAGCGGCGTCGTCGTCAGCAGCAGCGAGGATTGTGGGCTGGACGGGTTCGCGCAGCGACTGGATGGACGATGCGCAGATGATGGCGATGCGAAGCAACGAGGACTGGAGCTGCTTTTCGGCGGCCTGGTTGGCAGCAGTGGCGTCGGATTCGGACATGGTGGTGGTGATGGACATGCCCTGCAGACGAGCCGGACAGGATGGTGGGAGCAAGCAAGGAAGGAGGCAGCAAAGGGTGGGGATGCGCATCAGCCAAAGCAGCCAAAGCAACACTCTCAAATGCAGGCCAAATCGCCGCTCACTCAGCCTCTGGCGGAAAAGCCGAGCTGGAAAAAGTTGGGCGAGCAGGGTGCAGCGGCAGCGGCAGCGGCAGCGCGCGCGCGGCCACTCACTCGCTTCGGAGCAGCCAATTCCGAGAGCTGCCGCCAAGCTAGCGAGCTAGTGCCTTTGATTGCTCGGTGACTTACTGCTGGAGTGTGGCTTGTGGATCAAGAGAAGGCTCGAGCGGTCGTTGAAGATGAGGAGAAAGTGTGCCTTGACAGGGAAAGGGAGGGAGTTGGGATGGTAGCCGTTTGTCACTTTATGCGCTGCGGCCGGTGCTCGCAACGTCGTCTTTGGCAGGTGCGCGGACTTGGTCCGAACGGCACTTTGTCTGAGCACATTGAATTCTTCTCACAGGCTTGCCAGGCTCGCTAGGCTTGCTGGGAGGTGTGGCATGTCTTGCGACGTCGATTGGAGCGTAAAGAGGCTCGTAAGCTGGGGCGCGATAGCGTATGCCAGGATGACCACGGCTATTTCGGCCAATCTTGGCCTCCACGCCCCGCCGCAAAGTTGGCGCCGAGCTTTGCCCTTTCGTTCAGGTTCGGATACTTGCACGCGTCCTGGACTTAACAGTTCAGTTTTTCTAAATTTGTGCATCAATATCGGCGTAACAGAACGAAGAAATCGCATCGGCTGTGCACGGCGGAGTCGGCGATGGCGATGCGGGCTGTGGCAGTGTGACGTTGGCGCAGCAGCAGAAGCGGCGCCACATGGCCCGGTCGGCCTCCACTTTGGGCACTTTGCCACTGCAGCGCCCTCGGCGAGCTGCCGTCAGCGACCCTTGGCATCCAGCCCAAGAGCTATGACTGGCATCGCTGTATCCTCGCTCCTACCCACCATCAACCCACCACCATTTCACCCACATCGAAACGACACAAATGTCAACGCAAAAGACCACCCAACCTTCCGACGCACCGCCGTCGTACGACCAAGTGAGCGGCCCTGCCGGCTCCTCCTCCACCGCGGCCGCTGCGGGTAGCAACACCGCTGGATCGAGCAGCCTCGCCGTTCCTAGCCAGGATGCGGCGGTCACGCGCAAGTCGATGGAGGACATGCTGCGACCCTTGCCGCACGGCTGGATTCGGCAGTGGGATCCCTCGACGCACCACAACTTTTTCGTCGACACGCTCGCCAAGCCGCCGCGCTCCATCTGGGTGCACCCCTTTGACGACGACCAGTTCCAGCGCGAGCATCCGGACGACATCCGCCGCGAGCACGAGCGTGTCGAGCGAGAACAGATGGTTCATGCCGACACCGACGATGAAGACGAGCAACCACGCAAGCAGTCCCACGCTGCGGCCACGAGTTCGTCTGGAGCCCAGCCAAAGGGCCTGAAAAAATTCGGTCGCTCGCTCAAGGACAAGATGACCAACACGACGCACGATGAACGCGAGGCGAAGCGCAAGGCCCAGCGCGAGGCCGAACAGAGGGCCATGCAGCAGCACGCCATGATCCGCCAGGCCCTCGTAACTGCCACACGCACGGGACAGCCCCAGTTCATCGGAAAGGATCAACAGGGCAGAGAGATCTTTGCCCAACCTCCTCCTCCAGGTGCATTCGGTGGCGGTGCTACCCTCGGTTACGGTCCCTACCAGACCGTCGGCGGTCCCTACGGAGCCTATGGTCCGTACGCCAGGCCTATGGGTCCCTACAGCAGACCCTACGGCGGCGCAGGTATGCCCATCCTAGGCGGTCTGGCTGGTGGCATGCTCCTAGGCGGTCTCCTCTTCTAAACCCCCCCCCCCCCCCCCCCCTTTTTTAAAT